GTTCTGCACGGAACCCTCCACTTGGTTTCGTTTGTAAGGATCAGCAAACCTCCGGTTTCTTGGTTCCAAGCGTTTCCAGAAGGCTGATAGATCATCATTAGGGTGAGCTAAATACGGTCCAAGTAGGAGCAGTCAACTCCGAGGGCATCCAAGGGGGCATACTGAGCCACTTCTGTTCCTGTCGTTCGTCAATGACCTCTCACACAAGATTTCCTTGCGCATCTTTCGTCTCACTGACGACGTCTAAATTAGAAGAGTGGTAAACGGACGGGTTAACGTGGAGTACTTCTAAAAGACAGGAGAAACCAGAAATCTGGCTTTCATAAAACGGTTTGAGCTCCAATATGGAGAGGTGCGATGCAATGCACATCGGAAATCAGGAAACCAAGACGGTCAAATTCGATACAAGTTGTGCAGCCGCGCCATGACCAAACTGTTCATAGAAAAGGACCACGAACTCAAACGAACCCCCTGGGCACTAACCTGAAATTTTTAGGGGACATCAGGCACAGTGAACGCCACTTTACACTTCCTGCCAAGACGGCTCGGTTCTATCACTCCAAAACTATCTCGGACGGTTCTCATACTTTATGCACCCAAGCATCTTGAAGTTGTCAATACAGCACTTCGGACGCCCAAGAGAGACTACGGCCTCTTTGAAAAAGTACAGACATCTGCGGTAGCATCAGCAACGGAGCTGAGGGGGGAAACAGACTGAGACACTTCTGCCGATTTACTTTGGGTGGACCATTTATGGCCCATAAGGTTATGCAATGGCGAGCCATATGGACAGGCCAACCTTACCTGCAACATGGTAATCACAGGGGATGGCAAATCAGAAAGCTAACACCGTAGTCAAGTCAAACTTCTCCCGACTGAGGGTATGCGCTTTATCGAGTACTTCACCAGACTATGTATTAACAGCCCTTTCCATAGACCCATTTAGAAGAAGGTTAAACAATTGCGCCAGTTCCTATGGATTTCCAGGGATATACCCAGGCGCTGCTTAAATGAGGCTTACCAATAGATTCTTCCTTTTTATCACCTACCAGTGTTTTGTTTTGATAAACCCGTATTGTCTTCTTACTTTTCTTCAGTAATGAGATCAATGCTACCTACTTTAATCCCCCGGGAATGTCTCATCTAACTTTTCCCACTACCCTTATCTTCCCTTTTAGGCACGTCCGCAAACAGGAGTCACAAACGATCTGTAATCTTCCCAGGTACCCGTAGCTTCCTAACCAGCTCAATCCACAAATCGCACTTGCCAATCCACAAAATGCACTCAAACCACTGCAGCCAAGAGCTGGGAGGCTAAATAGGTTTCCCTGACCACTACAGCAAAAAACCAAACAATTAGAACCAAACCAAAAAGCTAGACGTGAGGGATCAGAAACCAAAAGTTTCACGTGCTCATAGTCTGATACTTTCAAAGCGAGGCATGATGAACATTTAGAGCCTCGTGATAGCGATGTGTTGTACTCGAGAAGCTTCCCTTCATCCACAGATCGGGGGAAGGAACACTACCTGTAGAGAGCACATTGATTAATAATCGATTATCTGCGTCCCTTCAGGTTTTTCGGGGCCAGGAAGACAATTGTGACCATTCCAAGTAAAGCGTGTGTTCCAGCAGTGCAGACGTAGGACTCACAGGACTATCGTTCTCTTGTTCCATAACACGGAGTTCGAAGTTTGCGGTTGGACACACCAAGTATCTAGTAGGGGGCGTCTACAAAACTTGCTAGCACCGGGGAACGTAACCGACAACGACTGTGAGTAGCGTTCGGAGCGACATTCATGGGGTAGGACCGGGTCATTATATCCCCAACTCTCAGTCTTGGACAGGAAAGGGGGATCTCAAGCCGAAGGTTCAACTGAAACCTACCCAACACTATCAAAAAGGCTGGAATGCACGAGAATATTGGCGATGACACTCTGGGGGTTGGGCGGAAAACCGTCCAAATTGAACTGTCTTTTTACCAGCGACCACCCACTGGCTGAAAACGTCCAGGTTCAAACCCCTCTTGGCAGCAAGGATCACAGAGTGATAGTGTTCGATCCGGTATTCGGCGAACAACGGTCATGGGAGGGACCTCGCCCATGTCTTTGATACAGCAAGGCAAACTGCTTGGCGATGAGCCAATATCTGTCGACAGTAGCGTGGCCTCAGGAATGGAGTAACCTTTGATTGAGCAGCACTGGGAACTAGTTAGCATGGTATAAGTAGAGTGTCTCCAGAGGAGAGCCTGACCATACAGAGTACACAGCCCTAGGAAATCGATGGAACGCCAAAATAAGGGGAGACAGGGGGTCTTTCCAGACGAACCTTTCCCAGAAGCTTGAGGCGGACCCTAAAAATCAATGTAGACTTACGGCAGGCGGAAAACCCACGAGCCAGAGTGCTTACATCGTGAAAGGCCTGAAAGGAGAGAACCTCTTTGGACTAGGGATCGCCGGAGCCTGTAGCGCCGCCTTCAACAAGCAACTGAACGCATCTCCATTTAGCCGAAATTGCCAACTGCTCGGTCAACATTCAGCACCACTAAGTGCAGTAGAGTTGTCTGGAATAAACATGTCTCCTACTATGGTCCCCGAAAACTATCAGAGATCCTCGTAGAGAAACCACCGGAATGCCATGACATCCGGTTGGCCTTGTTGAAACAGCTTGCGGTCGCCTTATGCGGTCTGGTTCGTAATCTGTTTCAACACCTCTTAAACAATTACATGCTTCCACGAGAATGGAAGGGTGCTATCCTGTCCCCCATCTTCAACTGATGAGATAGGCAGAACTCAAAGTGCTATCGACCCATAGCCCTTCTACCAGTGGTGTCAAAAGTAATGGGGAACTTGGCAGGGTATCGTGTCATGGTTTACCTGGAAGAGAGGAAAGCACTAAATGACGCTCAGCATGGTCTCAGGAGGGATAGGTCCTGGGCCCCAAACATTCTGGCGGCCGGTGATAAGCGGACGGCATTTTGGGACCTCCAAGTTCCTGTCCATGTTGCTTCCCTGGATTTCGCTAGAGCCTTTGACAGAGTCCCACACACCATTCTGATCAGCAAAATATCAAGGATGAGCACCAAGGGTCAAGTAACTTCCTGGCTGCAGGGCTATTCAGACGTCGGACAATTCTGCACAAAAGCCATCAGGGTTTGCTGGACTTGGGGGACATCGTCATCTGGTGTATCAAAAAGAGCGATTCGCGGTTCGCTGCTATTCCTTCTTTTTGTGAACGACCTTCCACTGGATCTCACCTCCCCAACTTTACGCTGACGATGTTAAGTTGTGGACAGCTGTGACGTCTGAGACAGAATCAAGCTCACTGCAAAGTGATCTCAGATTACTTGCCGAGTTGCCGGATATTACTGGATTAGCATTTAAACCGAATAGGTGCTGAGCCGTGTTTCTCCACACCTGCGACTCTCAGGAGGTACCCTAATCTCTCTGTGGAGCATCACTTTCCCACACCATAGCGGAGAAAGACCAAAGGCTAATACTGACTGACAAGCTAGACACCAGCTCAAGTTATTCAGGAGATGCTACGAGAGCCTACTCAGTACTGCACTTCATGCGCAGACAGCCAGTCGCCCTGACCCCAGAATTCTTTCTGAGGCTGTACAGGACCTATATACGACCTCACTTAAAGGTGCACAACGTCATCGCACCGCCGTTTCTGAAAAGAGATGTGAACCTCATGGAGAAAGTCCAGGGGTGAGTAACAAAAGGTGTCATGGGAATGAGGCGAAAACCCTGTGAGAATAGACTGACAGATCTAGAACTCTACCCTCTAAGCTACCGTAGATTACGGCCTACAGAATACTAAGCAACCCAAGTCATCCAAACAGTGGAATCCTACCGAACGGTCACTGCGGTGACTCTCGTGGTAACCCAAGGAGAATCGCTCAGCAAAGGGCCAGAAAGCATGTGAGTCCACACTTATCTCTGCGAGTTCGCGGCAACTGAAACGCATTGCCTGCCGAAATTGCTACTGCCCCCTCCGTTAGCAGCTTCAAGAAGTGGTTGGACAGTTAAGCGGTGACTCACGGTTTGCGCTCATCCGGCTGAGATATGGACTAGGCTGATACAACCTGCTAACTCAGTGCAGCCAACCAATCACCGAATGCCTCGTAACGCTACTATCATTGCGAACTTGGCTCAACCTTAAACTTTTCTATAGACATCTCCTCCAGCTACCGTCACTTACTGATAGAATTATCATCTCTAGTCCCATAAGCCGTCCTATAATGTTAATTGTTCCTTCCCTTCCTACTGACTCTCTTTCATCACGCTTTAATAAAAGCTCGCCCCATCACCCCTCTCCCGTGAATCTACCGTTGTTTCTTCTTCCGTTCTGTTTCATTTTACCCAACCGTTTTTTCCCATTGTTCCCTTTTCCTGCATGCCTGAGGTTGCAGGTCAGTATTATGTAGGAGACTACGTGATAGGCGTCTTTTTCTTCCTTTCTTTTCCTTCCTTTTCCTTTTCCTTTGCCACTTGTTTTCTTTGCACTTTCTCTCCCTCGATTTCTCTGGACACATTTTCCATCCTCTTTTAACAACCAGTCCGACCAATTGTTTGGTGGCACGACACTTGAGGAATCCATATGCACCACAGTCCTTGGAAGAAAAAAATAACAACACACTCCCAACAAATTTAACCAACGGCCAACCACCCGTCGGGCTAACCAGAGCTACAGAAGTGGAGTGGGTAGACCTACTGCATCGGAATCCGCCGAAGACCTGAAACCGTTCCGAAAGACCTAGAAGTGAGCGGGAAGAAATCAATTTGTTTACACTAACTCGTGAAAAGACATTGGATTTTGAAGTTTGAACCGCGTTCCTAGAATTAATACACTACCTTACTGTCCCGCCTGACACATTAGTTTGTTTCTTAAATGGTGACTTCTGAGTGATTTCTTCCAGGTTTCCCTCCTTCATATCAAGAATATTTATGTGGTTTGCTTGCCGAATGCTAAAAAATCTCTCGTTCGCCCAATTTTGATGCATATTCAAGTTTCGTGTCCCATTAACATAGCCCTACTGAAATATTGTATGAGAATTTTTTTCCGATACATGTTCAACTTCAGGGGGGAAGAGTGATGACTTAAATGTATACCCGTTGACTCCCTCAATAAGTCTGACACTAAATCAAGCACAGGTAATAAAAGTTTATCACACCTTATATAATCTGCAGGTTGGAACAATAACAACAGTTTGTATTAGCAGTAATTTAAAGGAGTCTCACTTCAGGCTCGATGGAGAGTAAGTGAGTAGTCTTTATAACTCTTTAGGATCAAGCAGTTCCCCTCAAGGCTTTTGGACGTGTTAATAGTTGGTTTGTTCACATTCGTTTTTCATAGCCATCACTTTAGCACAATTGCGTTCTAGGCTTGCCGGAAAATCGATCCAGTCACCTTTTGTATGTGTAGATACCGAAAATAATTTTCCAACCGCAGCGGGACTGGCGTCAAGTGCATCTGGAACTGCTGCATTCGGTAAGCTCACATCGGTTTCTTATTATGCATTCAGCATTTGCCCTAGGCAAATTGTACTCATTAGATGGTGATTATACCCCGTTTTCCCGACGTGGTTCTGGATCTTCATGCCGTAGTTTATCTGGTGGCTTTGTTTACTGGTCAAATAATCCAGATGATTATACTCATCGCTCTTCTATTCACCAGCTTTTTCCTGCATCACATTGGCCGGAACTTAAATTGCTGATTTGTGTTGTAAGCATAGCATACTGTTTGATATATTTCCATCACTAGTCCTGCTGTAGACATATATTGAGTTTCATACTTCCAAGTTGTAAGAGTACTCATGGAGTGTTGTCAGTCATCTAGCAGGTTAATGCCGTCAAAACACTTGTCGTAAGGTGTCCGCTTAACTTGTTTTCAATATCTAGTCATCGTTTAGTCTCATTTGTTAGCTTTTGCATATTTATGTCAGTTCATCTTGTATATATAGTGGATAGGCAGGACTTGATAGGGATGACACTGTAAAGTTAGTGACTCAGGGTAGCTAGTCAGTGCAAAAGTTAGATTTAGTTTTCTTTGACTTATTTCAATAACTCACCGTTCCATTTGGAAAGCACAAATTTTATTCGATATACAAAGTAACAGATAATTGGCGAACAGTATTTCCCGAATTCTATGCTTCATATTTATTCAACGTTTAAAATGAGTACGGAAAGATTACACCCGGTAGCCATCAGGATATCAGTTTGTTCAATAGATATTTGAAGTCTTTTGTACATTAGTTTAACTGTGTTTTCCCGATCCTTACCTAGAATTTGGCCCTGGAAGTTACCTTGGTGCTTGACTGTATACATATTCCGTGACATTAATACGTTATTGAACTTTGATAAAAATCTTCGGAAATGGTGTATATCACATGCATCGTATTCTTATTCGAAGCAGGTGTTCGTGTTAAAACTTACTCAAATATTACTCACCAATTGTACCGTTCCACTTTTGTTTGCAGTTTTCATTGACACCTCCAAGGTAGTGCTTTTCTTCAGCTTCGGGAATTGTCTTCAGCTTGAATCTTTTTATCGGCGTCCACAATACAACTCTGTTGTGCAAAGAAACTGATGAAGTATTTATTTCAAATACGGTACTTCTCAAATGCGAAATATTACCTCATCAGTGATGTCCAAATAATTTATTTACCAGTGGGAGGAAAATTGGTTAAATGCGTTGATCATTTCACCTATCAAGAGAGCTGCACAATTTTTGGGGATTATTGGCTGATGAAATCCTGGATGTATGTAGAAAGTTATGGTGTAGATTTTAGATCCCCCACTGCACTGTACATATGCGAAACATGGAGGTGTAGTGTTCTTGTCCATTTTTGAATCTGAATGAGATGAGATTGCTTAATGGACAATTTTAAAGTTACACCTAAAATACTAGAGAAATGATGGAAATCAGTTAAACCTCCATTAACTGAGGTCGTTGAGATGTGTCAAGTGCGCTTCATCACCACCTTTCTCAAGTGTCGGCTGGAATATGGGTAGAATAACAGAAGATTCAAAGTCACTATGCTATGGTATGCCATCGTTTTTCATTGTCATCGACTGTTTGAAACGGCTTGGGTAGATGTAAGCTTCCTGATTGGCATCTGTTATACTTTTGTGGTCGAGTATGGTTTGAAGGCCGTAGTGCAGATACATTAACACCAAAATCTAAGACACTTTCGGAGTATTTCTTTTGTCCCCTTCGATTATTCCGGGGTCTGTGGAAAAAACATAATTTGGTAATTCCACTACCTTTGACAAACTTTATGTATATTTTATTTACAGACAAGTGAAAAAACTAAGCCTGTCGGATCGACCGTTGCAATGCGTAACTGTGTGCAAACGAGTGATTTATTTCGCAGCGCTCGCTTACCATCCTCTAAGCAGCATGAAATAACATTGATTGCAGCTCTGAAAAACCGTGATTTCTCCACTTTGGCAGAGGTGACCATGCGTGAAAGTAATCAGCTTCATGCTCTTTGTCTGGATACTTGGCCGCCTTGCACTTACCTAAGTCATACGAGTCATTGTATCATGACCTTTGTCCATCAAATCAACAAACATTTCAAGAGAAACTTTGTGAGTTGGGCATATACTTATTTTTTTCGCTATTTGTATATCTCTGGGGCAAAATGAATTATAAAAGCACCACTAACAGACAAACAGAGAAAATCAACCTCGAACCTGTCGCAGATGTGTATTTGTTCAAATTACCATTATTCACAGTAGCATAGAAAAAATGAATGGTACAAAAAGATTGATATCAAAGTGGACAAAAGTACATAAGAGGAGAAGGAATTTTAAAATGGTTTGTGAGACTACTTAAACTTTAGAAGGCATCAAATATTGGATACATCTGCGCCATTGTGACCGATTTTCAACTGTTCTCACCCACTGGCTCCTATCGTCTGGGCGACCCCAACAAATTAGTCTACACCTCCTTACACGACTGAGACCAACAGTCCCACTTGTTGTTCTAGCCGTCTTGAGCCTTCTACTAACCTACTTTCACCTCTGGGATTGCAACGCATGTCCAAGCCATCTCAGTCAATGGAGTTTCACAGCCTCTTAAATCGACTTTTCTATCTTCCTTAGTAACCTCATAACCTCGACCTTATTAACGTGGTGGTTCCACCAAACGCGACCAATGCTACGAAGATACCTATGATCAAACACCTGTAGTCTCTTACTGTCTTTTACTTTCAGGGACCATGTCTCACAACCCTGTAACAGGACAGAACGAACTGCAGCGCAGTATACTCCTTTTTTAGATTGATAGTCGGATATCTTGCCGATGGACTCCTGAGACAACGCGAATTCGCCAAAGCGGAACAAACCTTCTGTATCCTAGCTGAGATTTCTTAAGCAAGCATCTCGTTTGGACTGGTAACTCTCCAAGTGAGGGAAGTAGTAGAGACGTTCCACGACTTCACTCCCATTGCTCAGACTAGGAGTAGTTGCACAGCAGTTCTGCTGAAGTATCATCTAACACTCGACAGGTGTGAGATGCTTGGCAAACACTCGTTCGGGAGACCCTTCATTTTGTCAGCGTCCTCACCTAACAGCACAATGTAGTCTGCATACTCCAAATCAATCAGATGTCCACTAGAAAGTAGATCAATTCTTGTGAGTTTAACAGTACCTAAGGTTACGTTCATTCATACTGCATCTATAACGAAGTTAAGCAGAAAGGATGACAGCGGGCATTGGCGGTGAACACCACTAAATGTCGTCAGTTTAGATGATTTGAGAGTTCGAATAGAAAGCTGTGATAAGCGTCACATAGTTGCTGGTCACTCCTTTCACAGTCACCAACTGCTACAGCTACTCAGGATTGAAAGAGTGGAGTGAGACGTTCAGGTTATGAAATATGACAAGTGTTAGCCACCCGTGTCCCAGAACCTGTTGGAGAGTGACAATCTGATCTGATTAGCCCTGAAGCCTGCCTGGTTTCCTCAAGTTTGATGCTCTCGACCTCCAGTAAGGCGTCGCATAACTATGGACCCTAGAATCTTGGACACATTATTGGTCAGGGTAATTCCCCATAGTTGTCACAAGCAGATTTCTCCCTCTTATAAACTGGGATGATCAGTGATGTAAACCAGTCTGACGGCACTACGTCTGATTCCCATACACAACCTAGTATCTCCGTTACTCTAATCAGTAATTTCCTACCTCCATCCTTAATAACTTCGGGTGATAAACCGTTAGACCCAGCTACATTGAATCGTTTCATATTTAAGATAGCCTTTCCAACTTCGAGGATGGTTGAGAGACCGGTATCTACGTCCCACTGAGGTTGGAGCTGGATACTGGGCTAGTAGAACTCTGCTTGACAGTGTTCTGCATAGCGTTCTAACCACATGTTTTTAGTCGTTATGAGCATCCCATCCTTTTCAGTGATGTTTTCACTCGTCACCCTATTCTTGCCTATATCCTTAATGAGCCTAAACAGGTGCCGGGTATTACTGAATGCTGATGCCTTCTCAATCTCTCTCGCTTGCGCCACCCACCACTGCTTGCGGTCATTGCACAGACTCTTGTTCAGTTTATGTTTAACCTGCTTTCGCTCTCCATTGTGGTCAGAGCCTGTTGGGATGTGTCTTTTCACATCAATCGATTCAGATAACATTGTGGAAATTCAGTGACGTTTGTTGACCTCAGGATATAGGTTACCAAATGTCTTTGTCAGTATTTCTACAGCACACTAAATATCACGCCAGGCTTACTTAGGATGAGGATATTATCATGCTCAAATGAATGCTCGACTGCCTCCTCCGTGAATGCATACTTAGCGTTCTCATCTTCCAGTCAATCATACACGGCGTAACTAATACCTGTTTCTGCGCCGATTACTTTGCGAATGTGCACGTATTGCCTGCACTAGCACATATAATTGGAGTTCCTACGAGTGATCGAGGAAGATCGACAGTCCTCTGCCGATCCTCTTCAACGATTTCTTATAGCAGTACGACCCATCTGTGTTGGTCTCTGGTTTAATAGCGGTGGACACCATGTGAGACATTGTCTCTCCATATGCTTTAGGTTGGTGCTAGTCAAAAGCAAGTAAGTGTTAGAACGAAACTACGATGGAAGATGGAAAGCGATACGCCATAGATACCTTTCCGATTGGTTCAGCTTCCGTACTTAAGCGTCGAAGTCACCTACCATTATGACTACATCTGAACGTTTTGCTTTTTGTAGTAAATTTGACAACTCATAGAATCTGAACTACAGTCGGTGGGTGCGTAGATGGAGACTACGAATAGGTATCAGTCGATTTTACGATCCTTCTTAGTTCTTATAGATCCATTTAGTCGAACAGCATATGGATGGCTGTTGACCTATAATCTGTCGAGGCGTGCTCTTTCTGCTCTATGATTGAATGCTATACCTACACCAAAGAGTTTGAAACACCTAGCCATTGAATCTTCGGGCACTCGTAAGGTGAATTTTAGTGACTGATCACAATGATCAGGTAAAGTCAAGTTATGAATAACCCCACTCGGATCATGTATACGTGTCTTACAACAACATTACACCCACCCATAGGTCGGGATTCTAAAGTTCTGGAGAGCGATGTCTGCTGTCCGGTTTTACATAGTGTTCTGATAGTAAAAACCAGAATATGAAAGCAATGACGGTGTCTTAAGAGACTGGAAATGAGGTTTTGATTTCTTGGATCTTTAGCAATAGTCGCAGGGTGAAAGGTTGAGAAAGTTCTAGACGGTTTAATATCGGTCTCAGGAGATGAAAACAGTAGAGAATAAAGGTGAAGGGGCTAAGTTTTGTTTGGCTGCGTGGTTGGACTGTTTTGTATCATTGGAAGCGTGCAGGCGGTAGATACTTCCCAGCTGCTCACACTGGGAGTTGTTTCTAAAGGGTACCTGAAGGAGAAGAAAGAAAAGATTTGTATGACCACAAAACCCGTGGAATATCTGTCTGTGGGTTGCCTTTTGAGGATTTTTGTTCTGAGATTTGGTTGTTTTGCTGCCGGACAGAGATAAGCCATATCAGTAGCACCGGAAGACCGTAGGTCAAAGTGGAGTGTGTTATTTTGGGGGCCAACCGTCTCTAACCCCGTCCCTGGCATTCCAATAGGGAAGACAGCATCAACATGACTACTAGTCATCCGCCGGAAACACCTTACTGCTGTCACTCACCTCACACAGCCAGCAGTACGATTTCGCCCTCGGACCTTCATAGCGTAGCAGTTTACACTATTACGGTAGCTGATTTTCTTACCACCATCTAACAAACTTTTCTGACATGGTAGGACCCCGAGAGAACAAACTTTCGAGTCACTGTAGCTCTTTAGGTCGTTGTAGTATGGAAGCTGGACCATCACCTCAAGGTTGCAGCTGTCGGTCGAAGCAATAATAACAATATATGAGTGAGAAAGAGTAGTAAGACAACAAATAACAGCACAGTTGAAAGTTCTCGCACAGAATGTACTCAAGTTCTGATTCTTTTTGTTTTGCGTTTCAAAAAGTGCTAGAATCATGAGTTGTAGGACAATAAATAACTAATAATCCTCATTCAACCATATCTGATAGCGTCGCAAGCTACTGGGAAGCATAACCTTCATGATCCTTATGTGAGACGTGAGAGTGCACCAGCAGATACCTAGCAGGTGAAAGACGTCTTACGTTAAGTGTTCGCACTACATTTTCGTAATATGCAACAAAATACACTCCATTTATCGTACCCAACTAACTTTGCTGGTATCTTTTATGATAGTATGTGCTTTCTCCACCGAAATGTTTAATAACTTGAGAAGGTTAGTAGGATTCCGTGGTTGTGATTGGTTAATTATCGGAAAAAATCAAGAGGTTCCAGTTTCTAAGTAGTTGCATGTTTCTGATGGTGGCATATGAGATCAGTTATGTAGCGAAATAAAAAGTGGCTCTAAAAGTTCAGGTACACTAGTTATTTATATATTACTTTTTGTCCTGCACTTGCGAAACTTACCCGTTCCTAGCCGTACATACCCAACTGATCTTTGTGCTCGATCGTCACGGTCCATATAGTATCATTGGTTTTGGGTTCCAACACCGTTCTGACATATTAGAGATCGTCGTTTTATCGATGAAGCTATGCTAAAATATTCATCTGCATAACTTTGACGGACGTTATGGAGAGTTGGTAGTTCTAATATAAAATAATATTATCACAGCCACTGTAGTGGCTCATAAAAAGCGGATGGTACAGTAATACGATCTGTGCTCAGATATGGTTACTTTGCAGTAAGTGGTGGTATGCTGCACCAATAAAGCTGTTGTAAATATGCGGTCGTGTTACAGTAACCGTAAATTTGTACTGAGTAGTAATTTACGTTGTAAGAGTCCTTGAATATTGAGTGCTGATACTTAACCTTACTGTGCAGTTATAATTTGTCAAGAAATCGGATTGTTCTAGTTAATATCTTAGATGCTTGCATAACAACCAAGTTATGTTAGTCTGTGTAGTCACTATTCTTGTGGAATAGAGGTTAGTGCTTCCTTAATCTATTTGCTTCTTAGCATTTTACCGTTTTATTGATTATTTGCTTTTGTTTTGTGGTTGGACAAAAAGCATTTACCCCTAACATGTTCTTAAACAATGAGATGATGCATTATGGTGGCTAAGATCAATAACCCGTGGTTAACGGTAATCCAAAACCACAGAACGTATGTCCAACTACATCGACCATACTACTGGGCAGTTATGGTGCCATCAAAAGGCCGTACGTGACCGGCCTCAAGCACATGTCCCCTGGCTCTGCGGTCACACAAATCGTTTTCCGTTCCAGGTACCTCAAGAAATGGGTTTCTAAGGTGTGGTCAGCGAGAAGTGTCAACCGTCCGCACGCTCCCAGTACTACACACGACTCTGTCACACATAACTTCCTCAACTGTCTCCTCCTTTGTCTTCGTCTCCTGATGCTAATATTAAACCTCTTACCCCCTACCTAACCTTTCACTCTGCAACCATTGTCAACGATCAAAGCCATAGAAACCTCATTCCTAGTCTCCTAAGACCCCGTTATCGGTTTCACTTAGAAGCTTTCATCGTCCGAACTCCATACCAGGTAGGACAGCAAGCATCAGTCGCCAAAACTCTTGGATCTGTAGCCATGGATGTATGTTGTGTCTCAGAGACACGTATACAGGACTCGAGTGTGGTTATTAAATTGACCTCACCTGGCCACAGTAGTGAATCATTAAAATCCACCTTAAGAGTATCTGGACATCCAGTGCCTAACTCTCGTGAACTCGCTGGTGTAGGCATAGCATCGAGTCGTAGAGCAGAAAGTGCTCTCCTCGATTGGTTCCCAGTCAACAGCTGTCTATGTTCTGTTAGACTGAATGAATCTGTAACGACTAGGAAAGATCGTGAAGTTAGGCGATGTCTATTCGCCAAAGACTTGATCAAATGTTGCCACGGTTTATTCTAGCCATCCTTAACCTTTTCTAGCCTGAACCTAATTCAGCTAACAGTGTGATGGGGCAGATGGTGACTAGACATGAGTAACATATGTCCCAGCCACCTGAGTTAGTGAAGGTTTACAACCTATTCATGAACTGATCTCCCTTGTTCCAATAAATCTCAGAACCAGTAAACTTTTTCGTGTTGACGCAGTCGGTTTTATTTAGATCATTTCACTTGTTGAGTAGGGATTTCCATCACTCTCAAACACCACCATAATATTCTGAATATTTTTCCACTATCTTTAACTTATCTGATATTCGTAATAATCATTAGAAATGACCTACTTGGTCTTCAAATGACAATTTCCATACGTTTCGTCACAGTGAATAACAGGCTTCACTAACCGCAACTCTGGCATCTCAGTCCATGGATGCATGGCGTTTTTTAGTACATGCATATTTGACCTCAGTTGATCAATGATGGTGCGTCGGGAAAAGTAATAGCTACTGTCTTGATATGGTGATCGGGCTTGAGTATAGAATACCGACTGTCTTTACGTTTTTAGCATCCGAATTACGGTCTGTGGGCGTATAGGTGGAGACTGCGAGTTGGCGTCGATGAGTGTCACAGTCCTTCCCAGCTCTTCTGGATCAGTTCAATCGACCAGCACACAGATGGCTGCCGACTGGTATCCACTCGAAAAGTGCTTTTTCCGTTCTGCAGCTTAAACGAGTGAGTTAACGGGATTGAACATCTGGACACTCAAGGAAGACCAAGTGAATAACATTACTTAGGTCTTGTATACGTCTCATAAGCACAGCTTATATCCATAACTTGGGATTCCAGAGTTTTAGTGAAACACCGGTTGTCCGATTTATTATAGGGTATCAATGCAACTACACCCTCAGTCCTCTAGCATAACGTAGCTATTTACACTGTGACGGTGGCGGTTTAGTCTAAACAATTTTAATGTATCTTTGTGGCGTCGTAGAACCTCGATGAACAAGCGTTGCTACCAGCGTAGCTTGGGCCATTTTGATATCTAAGGTCAACTACCATGTCGGGGTAACACCTATCGATAGTAACTGTGCTGTGATCTCCTTGTGTTTATACTACTGAAAAGTAGCACCAAAAGTAATTAACTGTTTTTGAAAGTCTTACGAAATTATCTTCTCGGTCATTATGTGTTTTCTCATATTTTCTTTTTGCCTTCTCTCTTCATGATTGTAGTATTTTACATCATTTACTTTTTGGTGCTCATATTTCACCATGTTTGTGTTCGGAACAAATAAACGTGTTGCAAACTCGCCTTTATTTACTTCATATTTTTGACGGCTAGTTGTTTCGCTTGGTCAGATACCTGGCTCACATCTGAAATCAAAATAACCGATCTACGCTTATTATATCTATGCATAAAAGCTACTAACTTAAGTTGTATGTATGGCCCATACATTGGTGCATGAAGCAGAATATGAATACTTTGTTTTTCTTACCGTTTACTTTCTTTAAATATCTTCATGCACTTTACTGACGATTACAGATATTTCAGATATCTCTATTGCATCTGGAAATTACTTTTTGTTCAGTTTTTCGTATCATTTTAGTTTTTACGAAGTGAATGTTTTTCTTTTTCACTGTTCACAGGTTGCTTATACATTTGATGCTGGCGCAAATGCATTTTTGTTAGTGGAGTTAAAAAACATTCCAATCATTCTCAGGTATCTTACTGAGTGTTTTGGCTGTCCACTGGAAGTTTGTGATTCTGCAGTTGATCCTGAGAGTTCTGCTATTCACAGTAGTAATAACTCAACAAAGCACCTGAAAATTACTGGAATTCCGTATACATTGTCAAGTGATCCTGTAGATCAGGTGATTTTCTTAACTGTTCCAGTTTCAATGAGTAGTATTTGTCGTGATGGTTTTATTCATCCTTCTCGCTTTTTTTTGAGATGATGTTCTGCGTACGATAATCATTTTTAACTGTCATCTCCTTGTAAATTGACTGTTACTCAAAGATGCAACAACTGCTATGTAGAATGGATAAACTAAAACATTGAATGACAATCTAAAGATGCATTTCCTGGGTATAAATGAATGTTTCAGGACTTGTGTACAACCTTTCTGATTCCATTTTACCGTGTTTATTACTTTAGCTAGTTTTATTCGTTATCGTTGACTAGTTCACTGATCCAATATCAGCGTTAATGCAAATCACCCATCTTCCGTTTGATTGCTCAAGCCACTTGCTCAGACGAAAAAGGATCTATCTATGTATTAAGTTACTGGTTTCCAATACTCATGCTGTACTTTTAAAGAAGGACTAAGAATGATTGATTTACACCATTGAATTTCTTGCACGAAGAACTTCAATATTTAGGTTGAGTGTTTGTGCACACGAGGTTTAAGTAGCAACCAGGTTATGACATAAGTTACATTTATCATCTGCACAAGATTGACAGTTTTATAGACTGATACAATAAAATCTGACATCCTACTTTATATGAAGCAGCCTAAATGTAAACCAACATTTTAAGTCATCATCCGATAAGATGGAAGTTTTGGATTTCAACTTCATGTTACGGTGTGGTCAAGAAAAACCCTATTGGACAGTTTTGTTCGACAGTTGGCCAATCAAAACAAGCGACCAACCAATGATGTTTTTGTCAAATCGAGTCTTGCTTCCAATCACAGTCTGGTCTTCGTCTTCTGATTTTCGCGACTTAGTGAAGTATAAGTTTCTGAGGAAGAACAGCCACTATTTGGATTCAGTCCAAACGTGTCATTGCATTAATAGCCTCAGCCTACTGGACACAAAAACAAGAAGGGGTACAGATGTAGGTCCACAACACTCACTGTCTAGTGCGAGGAACCTTCCAAATCAAGTTGAAAGCCTTCACAGAAGTTGGTGATAGACCACAGTTCAAGTTGCTGCATGATCCAGTCCACCACAGTCAGGAAGATCATGAGTGATACTAGGCAACCTTGTTTTACTCCTGTCTTCACTTCAAAGGCGTCACTGAGCTTTCCATTGTGAATCACTTGGCATGTGGCGTCGTCATATAGCTGCTGTTGAATGAGGTTGATAAAGGTTTCTGGCACTGAAACCGTAGTGTTGAAGCAACTGCCAGATTACTCCTCGGTCGACGCTGTTGAAGGCCTTCCCAAGGTCGATGAAATTGAGGTAGAGATTTGACTGCCATTTTATACTCCGTTCTATGATGATGCGTAGCATAGTGCTGCAATTTGATCAGCACAGGATTTCTTCTTCCTGAAGCCAGCCAGCCAGCCAGCCAGCCTGTTCAGGTCGTAATTTTGAATCCAGCGCATCTTTATTCTCTCCAGGATGATGCGGTTTAATGTTTTGCTGTGGGTGGACAGGAGCATGACTCTGCACTGGTTATTGCAAATACTTGTGTAACCCTTCTTGCAATCGGCAGTTAACTCTCCTTCTTGCTAAACCTTCTGCAATAGTGATGTGAGCATGCCAGCTGCTAATGTCTCTGCGTCTATATACATTGTTTATGGATTAATTCTTTAGCAATTTTACACTATCACAATTCCATATTAAATTTGTTTATCTGATATATAGCGCACAGTGATTCAATATTGTTTACTTGATGACATTTCGAGCATAGATTATTGCTCATCACTATATCAATGTAGTCGCACTACTGCCGATAATCGATTTTTATAGTTCTGTCACCTTATATTATTTGTTTTCCAGTGGTAGTATAGGTGCTGCATCATTCCTATTAACTTCATCTGGTTAACTAGTTTACTAGTTACTAGCTGGTCCTAAGCCTGGATAAAGAGCGAAGCTTGGGCATAGGGCTAGCAACCCTACCCCCTAAAACCAATCCAATCGCTAAAGAAACCTCTAAGCACAAAGAAAATATAAAAAACGAAAACAAACTTATTCGTCACCGGAATCGGAAAGGAAAAATCTGTGTGGAAGAACACCAGGACTGTGTGAGAGCTATGTGGAAGGAAACATGCATAACCGTATAAGGAAGGAAGAAGAAGCAAAACAAGACGAGTAATGGATCTCGACAGATACATGGAAGCTGACAAAGGAGGTAGAGGAAGATGGTGAAGCATAAGATGAATCAGCGCAAGGACGCACAACAAAAAGAAGAACTGAGTACAACATCTAAAACACTGGGGGAATAAGTGAAGTCCTTGCAATAACTAGGGCAGAATCATGCTCCTGTCCACCCACAGCAAAACATTAAACCGCATCATCCTGGAGAGAATAAAGATGCGCTGGATTCAAAATTACGACCTGAACAGGCTGGCTGGCTGGCTGGCTTCAGGAAGAAGAAATCCTGTGCTGATCAAATTGCAGCACTATGCTACGCATCATCATAGAACGGAGTATAAAATGGCAGTCAAATCTCTACCTCAATTTCATCGACCTTGGAAGGCCTTCAACAGCGTCGACCGAGGAGTAATCTGGCAGTTGCTTCAACACTACGGTTTCAGTACCAGAAACCTTTATCAACCTCATTCAACAGCAGCTATATGACGACGCCACATGCCAAGTGATTCACAATGGAAAGCTCAGTGACGCCTTTGAAGTGAAGACAGGAGTAAAACAAGGTTGCCTAGTATCACTCATGATCTTCCTGACTGTGGTGGACTGGATCACGCAGCAAACTGTGAAGAGCCAGAAGATGGGTATACACTGGTTGGACCGATGATAAAACCCTAGAAGATTTGGATTTCACCGATGATTTATGTCTAATGTCTTGTCGCACAAACTCGAAGATCTACAGGCGAAAACTAAAAGGTTGGCAGAAGAGGGGAGGCAGCAAAGATGGGAGTTCCTTCGGGCGAATGTAGAGAGGACAGAAGTGATGAAGATACCCAACCAACAGCAACAATCACCATCAACAGGAGAAAGCCGAAGGAAGTAGTCTTTTTCACCTACCTCCCTGCGTCGCATCGTTTCAAATACAGGTGGTGTCATAGATGAGGATGTCAAAGGCAAGATCGGAAAGGCAGGACAGGCCTTCAATAATCTGAAATCAGTGTGGAGATCTACTGTACTGCACTCCACTCAGCATAAGGAACAAGATCCAGATTTTCAACACCAACGTCACGTTAGTGCTCTAGATGATTGAGAAACTTGGCACGTCACCAAAAGCATTTCCAACATACTTCAGACACACATGAACAGCTGCCACCTACTCTCACTCGATACTGAAGATCAGATGGCCAGAAGGAATGAGCAACAAGGAACTCACTCTGGCTGACAACGAAGCAACCAAGAACCCATCGCCCAACAAATATGCAGAAGAAAGTGGAGATGGATTGGAGATACACTGAGAAGACCATTCGGGGACAGCACGGGCCAAGCCAATCCATCCAGTGGAACCGAGAGGGGAAACGACAAGTTGGTCGTCTGAGGTTGACATAGAGGAGATTGTGTGAGGAAGAAGTGAAAGCTTGTGGGCAGTCGTGGAGCCAGGTTCAAAAGACTGTAGAGAACAGTGTGAAATGGCGATGTGCTACTGCAGCCCTATGTTCCAGTAGGAACCCATGGTACGAATAATAATATTTCGTCTTCTTCTGTTAGTCACTTCACTACTGCCGAATCACAAACTATCCGATTTGTGCAAAGAGAAGCGCAAAACTCAGTGCTTAAAAACAATGAGTAGGATAATACAACTATACCTAGTGATGTGATTGACTTGATTCCTCATCTACCAAACTTTAAAAGATCTGATTTTAACTTATTTGTGTTCAGGTTAGCAACTCTGCTGTTGTGTATTAGAATTTAGTACAGTAGACGATAATTTACTCTTTTTGTCTAGTGTACCATAGTCACCTTTATAAATTTCGACTATCTGCTCTTTCAAATGTCATTTTCAGTCAGTTACTTTATGACATCGCTACACCTGTAATGCAAATCTAGGTAGTGTTCATCTCTTTTCGGGGTTATTTGCAAAACTGCGTACTTATTTCCGAAGTTCATTTTGAGTGGGATTTCTGTTGACTTGATATTTTTGAGACACCATAAGTGTTATACGGGACCAGTACTTGTGATGTCCAACTTAGCATAATAAAATTGAAAGTGCTTATCTGTACTCATAATTCTATAAACATTCCTGATTCTTCCAATTAGGCAGAATTAACATAAAATTTATCGTGTAACATTCATGTTTTCCGCCATTGTGTGTGTTAAATATTCACCGAATACTGTTATATAGTTTTGAATATCTACAGGAGAGGGTAATAATTTTTGCTGAACTGCTACACCAAGATTACCGAGTGATATTTCGTTAACAACCTCCTCTTTATCTTTTTCGTCTAGAGACAAACAGAGACAAAGTCAAAAGTAGTGTTCGCCCAACAACAACAAGAAGATAGAAGTAGTGAGATAGTGATACCAATAGTGGTAAAGAAATCAAAAGAGGATAAGGGAAGCAACTAAAAGTTAGGAATAGGTATAAAAACGTGCATCTAAAACTTAGAGGAAGACAGTGTATTATTGCATCTGCGGAAGTGATGTCAGCTGTAATATTAGTGTGAAAGGATCTTGTACTGGGTTGGAGTTTCAGTGCGAACATTATTCGCTGGATGTGATGTCGTCCAGCTGACGAGTCCCAAATAGGGCGAAACACGTCCTGGATTCCACTGCTAACCACCAAATAAGCTGAAAAGTGATCTTGTGGTTAACTGGAGCGCTGATTGAATGATGGTCTGTTACCTTGTCAAAATCGATACAACATAGTATTCTGTTGATTTCAAATCTAATTAATAAGGGATTAAATCTAATAAATTTTGGCTACATAGTAGTACTGTATTCAATATTCATTCAGTGAAACGGTGTTTTGTCGTTTGATTTGCTTAGGTAAATATGTATTCCCCAAGTTTTGGTTGACTATTTTAGGCTTCAGGGGTGCTATTTAACTTGTTTTGCATACTTTATTTAAATCGGCCTGTCTTTCATTTATGACTGAGTCAAATATGCGTCTTCGTATCTCTTAATTTACTTTTTCTAATTGGTTTTCTAGAGTCTTTTGGAAAAATTACCCTGTAATCACGGTGGTATTCTTTATGTGATCAGTACTGAAGTGAGTCTCGAATAACTTCGTATGTATTATTTGTTATCGATTGGACTGAAAGCAGTTACCATCTTAGTGTATTTAGTTTACGGTGTGTGGGGGTCAGAAGGAAAAGTTGTACTGTGAACTGTGTGGCATGTGATAGGAGAGGGGATTTTCCTCAGATAATGCTGCTTACTCTGTAGTAAGAGGGAAGTTAGCAAACATCAGTCCCGAAAATGGTACACTCCTCCCTGCTCTGCAGTATTCCAGTAGCGACGGTTGCATAATCAAGCTAAAATTCAACACTTGAAAAGACCATGTGTGACCGATATGAAGCAGATGTCACATAAGTTGTTCGGTGACACTAAACCAATTTTCTACCCTTTCTATACAAACAACTCCCGCGGTGCTGACAGCTGAGAAGTACCAACTACCAGGACGCTTTCAGGCATGTAAAATCCAACTAACCATAACCTAACTAACGTTTGTTGCTTCCCTTGCCCGCACTTCCTGTTACTAATGTTAAGCCTCTTATAGCACAACGTCTTACACTACAACCATAACTAACTATCCAGACCAGCTGTCGCTTATTGGTTTAGAGAGATGACTTTCAAATAATGGGTCAAGGTTTCAAACATCGCTCCATCTACTGAGGTTTGGGCAGCCATGTAGTAGTATCATTAGCTATCACACAATACATGAGGCTCATTGCCTACTGTACGAATGTACACAACGTTGCCGAGTGCGTTTCAATTCTATTGAGACGAGCGAAACTCTCCATACCTAGTCGCGTAAAACTGTACTGCAAATTTTCCATCGGGGCTTTTAATGCCCGAACCCAGCGCGCTTCTTACAGAATCCCTGGGATCTCGAGTTATAGATTTATGCTGTTTCTGAAACAGGCAGACAAAATTAACGTTAAACCTAGCAAAGCAGAACAATGGTTCAATTTGACTCTGCACACAGAAGCATGCAAGGAATAAGTGAGCGGGAAATAAGAGTGATACCGAAGTAAGCAAATGTGTTTGAGAATGAAGGAAACAAGAAAATCAAGTTGAGCATTGGGTAAATGGATTATAAGTGAATTATATTTGTAAAATCTCAATAAGGTAGAAAAATTAATGTCTGATGTCTCACTACCTCGTGGAAATCGCTTCTGCCTCATTGAGATTTTACAAATATATTTCGTTTAGAGAATCAAGGTTAGTTAAAACGTCTAAGCTTTCAAAGACGTCAAAGAGTGGATATGTCTGTTTCAAGCATTTTACGAAGGTTTCCAACCACTGATTCCTATCATCTGAAGAACCCAGCCAAGTATTTTACAGCTCAGACCAATAGTCGGGGACTTCATCCACTGGTGTCACGATTTAGTCTGGCCCCCGAGCCATCTAACTTAATCCAACATTTAGCATTGCACGTCGAGACTGCAGTGACTCGGGATGCACGGTACATGTTCAAGCCACCTCAGTTAATGAAGGTCTCACATTCGTCGACCAATTTCCCCTCCTTACTTAGCACTACTCGACTGACCTCGACATTGCTCACGCATGGTGATTCCACAAAACACAAGCAGTGCTACAGAGACATCTGTGATACAAACTTTGTAATCGCTTCATATCTTCTACTTTCAATGGCCATGTCTCAGTCGTATAGCAGAACAG